TTCCAAGCCTATTGACACCCCATGGGTACAAACTCAAAGATGGGGAGCATATGGGTCTGATGCCTTGGTGAATCAAACCCTGTAGAGAGGAATTATTGGATCGTTGTTGTATCTGACAGGAAGCAGACCTGACATTGTCTTCAGTGTAGGTATGTGCGCAAAATTTCAGGCGTGTCCCAAGAAATCACATCTAAAAAAAGCCAAGTGGATTCTGAGGTATCTAAAGAAGACATGGGACCTGGTCCTCTTCTATCCAGTAGAAGACTCATTTGATCTAGTGGGCTATGCAGATGCTAACTTTGCAGGTTATCAAGTAGACAGAAAGAGCACGTCCGGAATGGCACACTTTCTGGGTTCCTCAATCATCTCATGGGGAACAAAGAAACAAAATTCAGTGTCCCTCTCTACAGCTGAAGCTGAATATGTAACGGCTGCATCATGTTGTGGCCAACTACTATGGATCAAGCAACAACTTAAAGATTTTGGAGTACTCATTCATACCATTCCACTCATGTGTGACAATACTAGTGCAGTCAACATGGGAAAGAATCCAGTTCAACACAAGCGAACCAAACACATTGATGTCAGACATCATTTCTTGAGAGACAATGTTGAAAAAAGGAACATCAGCATGCAGTACTGTAGAACTGAAGAGCAGATTGCAGATATTTTTACAAAATCCCTCAGTAAAGATCAATTTGAGAATAATAGGTTGAAGTTGGGGATGATTATCATGAACTGACCTGCTTCTATCCGAAGGCATCCAATCTTCCTTAGCTATGATCATAAGGGCAGGTATCCTCATTACTTGTACTTTGTTTAAGTAAGATCATCTTCGTACCTGTTGCAGGTACACACTCATGGAAAATCACTGGAGGAGCAAGGGATAACAGAACCATTCAGGGATCAAACTTCTCATGCAGTTAGGGACTTGGTCCTCTCTAAAGGTTAGCACTCTCTAAATTTTTCTTAAACTGATAAATGAGAACCGCTGAGATCTCCACGTGTCAGCCATCGATCATTCTGACCATTGTCCCATCGCTCTAAGTCCAAGCGGCGCATCTACTCAGGGACGTGCTATGTCCTTTCAATTTCTTTTTATATCTCTTCCATTCACTCTCTCCCATTCACTTTTCAAACTCTCTTCTTTCAAAGTAGTCTAGCAAACCCTAATTTCTCTCTCTTCCTAGTAATCCCTTATTTATTTTCTCCAACATGTCTCAAACTCCTTCCTCTTCCAAACGAATGCTAGACTCCCTGAATGAAATAGATCTAGTGGAATTGTACATATCATCTAATGCTCCCTCTCCGTCAAAAATGTCGACTATCTTTCCGATCAACATTGCAGAAGCTAGTCCTCTTACTCTCCAATCTCCCATTGATCTTAATAACCCAGCACCCTCGCATCAACCTAGTCTCCCATTGATCTCAATAACCCAACACCCTCGCATCAACCTTGTCCCTATTCAGCTATGTTATCTGACCACTTGTTTGAGGGTGATCTTCCCAAGAGTAAGTCTTCTGAGTCTAATATTCTTGCCGCTAGTGAAAACTTGGTTATCAAAAGTCTAGCACAGATGAGAGAAGGGGTGATAAATGAAGAGGGAGGAAGTTTTGTGGATGGAATACTTGGAGATTCCAAACCTGTATTCGACCAAACACATGAGGTTGGTCTCTATCCGTCTACTTATTCAAGTGACACTGACGAAGACAATGTTCCTCTTCAGTGGGTAATTCAAAAGAGAATGGTCCCTATCACCATGAAGGGAAAAGAAAAGGTCACAGAAGAAACTCCAAAAAAATGCCCTTTACTAAAGCAATTTCCCAAAAACTCGTGGGTGATGCTATGAAGTCAAGTGAAACAACTACAATGGAGAATAGAAAGAGAAAGAGGTCTGGTGATGTGGAAATCGAGTGGCCCACTAATGATGTAGTGGATGTTTCCAATGAACTCTCTGAAAAGGAGTCTGTGGATGAAGACACCCCCTTGGTTACTGCACAAAAGGGAAAAGGGAAACAAGTGAAGAAATCAGGAAAGTTGAAATTTAGGATTCATATAGCCAAGAAGGCTGACACTACAAAAGGAAAAGAAAAGGATTCACAAAAGAAAAAGGAACCATCAAAGAGAAAGAGAGAAACTTCCCCTGTTCTCAAGCAAAAATATTAACATGGCCTGGTACCAAACACAGTAAGGATGACAAAGAAGTTAGCAAGCAAACGATTGTTGATAATATGCACCTGCAGAAGGTCCTTGGAGGGAGAGTGTTTGATACTAAAATCCTCACGAAGCCAGGTATTGATTCATTGGCTGATCTTGTGAAGCTTCAATCATGGACTCAGTTGGTCATGACCAAATTTTTCGTTCTACATGAAGAACAAGTTTGAGAGTTCTACTATAAGGTGGAATTCGCAGAGGATGGCAGTCTTCACACCTGGGTAGGTAACAAAAGTCTATATCTGGATGAAGAACTGCTCGGAAAAATACTAGAGGTACCCAGAGAAGGGACCAAATCCGTGGTAGGAAATTCTTGCACCAAGCAGTTTGTGCAAGAATGTTCCAAAGTTCCTAGCATGCGTCGTGCGGGTGTCCAAAAGAAAAGGGATAGTACCAACTACTATTCGAGTTTGTCAATAAGGTACTTCTCCCTCGAGCTGAGAAATGCACAATGGCATCTGTGACTGACTTATTTGTAATGGAATCACTCTGCAAGTTTGAACCCTTCAATCTTCCCGCTCTAATGCTAGAGTACATGTATAAAAAAATAATTAAACACAAGGGCAAACATGGAATGGGTTATGGGTATTTCCTCATTAAAGTATTTAAGCATTTGGACATTCTAGTTGGACAAGGTACTGTTGGAACTGTTAAGCAGTTCTTCTCTGTGCGTACTTTGGTGGAATGTGAGTGCCTTGAAGGAAAGGCATGACCACTGAGCAAGATGTCTCAGTTGGTACTAGAGTAAGATCAGTTGAAGCACCAATTTGAGGAGTTGATAGTGCTTGTGAGTAACAAGGATGCAGAGATAGCCATATTAAAGGCTCAGCTGCTCAAAGCACATACTGAGGGACCTGGTACTGCAGAAGTCAACGAGTTAAGGGTCAAGAATGTTGCTCTCTTGACTCAGATATCTAAACTGCAAGAGAAACTTATTAAGGATCGTGATGAAGCCAATGAGCGGCTGACTCTAGTCATCAAATCCTTTTCCCATCAGCCTCCCTCTATATAGTCCCTTTCCTTCCTTCCAATGCCCTTCTTGTTGTGTGAACGGTGTCCGAGGTTCTCATAACAGTTTAAGTTTAATGTACTGAATGTTATCGTTTGTTCAATGAATTTGGTTCATGTTTTGTTGTGATTAATTCTTGTTCAATCCTTTTTTTTTGCTATGTATGTGTTTCCCCCGACTATGATCTCACTTTGCAAAACTTACTTGTAATGCTGGTTTACTGCATTTCTTTTTTGTTATGCGAAAAGGGGGAAAATATTGGTTGCTCGGGATTGGCAAAGTTAGTTGACAGGGGGAATGATGAACAGTGGCAAGGTTGACAGGGGGAATGAAAACAGTGGCAAGGTTGATAGGGGGAATGAAAATGAAGGCATTTGTGTGGAGTTTGTCATCATCAAAAGGGGGGAAAATGTTATTTGCAGTTTTGATAATTTGACAAACCCATGGGACCTTGTAAAGGGACATGATCCTTGTGTCAATGTACACGTAAATGCCAGGCTGTAAAAAGTACAATTGGTTGGTGTACAGTCTCCAACTGTGGCAGAAACATCAGCCAATGGCATGGCCTCGAAGATTGTGTCTATTCTTTATAAAGGTTATGTACAATAGACACAACCTTAGTTTTTGCAACTTGAAAATTCTCAAAAACACTTGCAAAGACCCACTTTCAAGAAGTATCATCCTCAAGAGCAACATGATCTGATAGAGCTGAAAGCTGTCTAGTTGTGTTATGATTATATCTTCCTTGCTTACATTGTAAATCTATTCCTAATCTATAAAGGATTCAGATATCTTATTCGGTTTGTAAAAGTCTAAATCGGTTAGAGTTAACTTATTTAGTGGGCAGTGTTATATCTGCTTAGTAAATATTTCAGTCATCTAGTAGCTAGTTGATTTAGTGGGCAGTGTAGTATCTGCTTAGTTGAATTCTAAGCTGTCTAAGGGTGATAGCTTAGTGGGCCGTGTGGTATCTGCTTAGGCTCATAAGTAATAGAGTTATTACTTAGCTTTGAGATTAATAGCTTATGTAGCTAGCTCTCCATGAAAAGTTAACAACAATTGAATGACTTGAGAAATGGGGTACGAAGGTACGTAGGCCTTTTTTGATGTGCACCATGGGTACCGATGAATTGTTCTCACACCTATTCTTTGACTACTCATAATGTGGAAGTCTCTATTGTGCTGGCTGCAGCTTCATAGACAAATTGGCAGCTGGGAAGAGGAGATCCTATGGCCCACTGCTAGAACACATAGCTGCAACACTAAGAATGAGATCTTACAATGGCTATCTGTTGCCATGGTGTATTGTGTTTGGATAGAAATACTCGTTGCTTCTCATCTCAAAGTTGTCCTTTAAAGTAGCGAGTGAAAGACATAGACCTGTAACTCCATATAAAAGGACAACAACGTACCAAGTGAAGTAGAGTTCTTCAAAGGTTAAATAATTTTGCTATCTAGTTCCTTTGCTAAGAATTTCAAGTACCATAAGTCTTATTGCTAAGAATTTTAAAAAGATAAGAGTTACTACAAGCTCTCAAGCCTGTGATCTATCTTGAGGAGTGCAAGGTGAAAATATTGTACATTAGAAACTACTAAAATCTGACAATGATTAGTCACTAATAGATTAAATGGACATAAGTATGTATAAATGTCATAAAAGAATAACAAGAGAAAAAATAATTAAGTTAGCTGCTTGATATGAAGCCTAGCTCCCTGTTAGTAGTTCAACAATTCCCGAAAAATACCAATGCCCTTTGGAATTTGGAGTCCGAATGATCAAACTTGCTTAATAGATAATCTCTCTGGAACAAGAGGGAAACATTTGTTAGTAGCTAGTTAATTGTACTCATATCAACTTAAAATGTAGAAAGTGAACAAAAGAAAAAGATATGAAAAGCACAAGAGGAGAGAAATGAAAATGTAGAAGAAAAAGATCCCAACTCCAGGAAACTGTAAGTCAACTTACTGATTATCTCATAGGTGACGATCATTGTTGTTCCATAGAAAGACATATTGAGGAACCTAGGTCCAAACCCTCTATAGAATCCTTTCCATCCATCTTCTCTAAGAAGCATTTTTGTTGTCTTTAGTACTGAAGGTTTCCCAACACCATAATCATCAATAACCTTCAAACACAGCGCCAAATCTAATCATCAGAATAGCCTTGCCAAATTTGAGTTATTTCTTCACCAATCCAACAGAGAAAAAAATAAAGTTTTTACCTGAAGTCATGTTTTAATAGTATCTATGGGAGTTGTAATTACTGACGAACAGGTACCAGCTGCCAATCTAGTTGTAGCCTGGACCGCAACCATCTGCATGTGAGACGGTTTCTTGTCCACATTGTCACTATAACCAAGATTCCTGAGGTAACAATTTCACAAAAAAGGAATTCAGTAACTGACAGCAACTATCGATTTGGTCCTGTAAGAAGAAGAGTTTTTACCATGCCAGCAAAGTTAAATTGTAAATTAGTTGAAATCAGTGTTACTCACCACATCGAGAGGCACAAATTAGACACATGAGACTAAGTTGGAGACCATGCCAGCAAAGCCATTTGCTAGAGACACACGAGTTGGTTAATGCATAGTAAGACCTTGTATATATTTCAGCATCATATCTTTTGATACTTCAAGTGAAGTCAAAGCCATGACTCTACCTAGCAATGATCCCATAGCAGATGTGCCAAAGCCTCTAAAGATGCCTGGGATGCCGTCACTCCTAATTATATGCCTAAATACAGAGAATCCATTCATTTGAGAAAGTGAAAAGAATAACTCCTATTATATGAAATCTAACCTTATCCAACTTGTCCCAATTGATATCTGTGTCAGCAAGAGCTGCCAGGTGAGGTGCAGTAGCAGCTTCAGTTTCCATAGCTGCAAATACTAATGGAGGAATAAGAAAGTAGAGAGGAGAAGAAGAGTTGAGAAAGTTCCAACGATAGCTAAAATATTGTTTTGAAAAAAGGAAGGGAGACCGACATTAAGGCGCCAACTTCTAGCAGTTAAATCCTTGTATCACCAAAAGGTTACCTACGTAAGCCACCTCTTTTTGTCAATTAAATTAGGCCAAACACATGTGTAGACCCTTAAACTTGTCCCTAAATTTCATTTTGGCACTCCAACTCTACCTTGATCCATGTGAACTTTTATAAATAGGTTATAATGACAAAAATATTTATGAAAACATGAGTGTAATAAATAATAAAATACAACAATAACTAAAAATATTTAAAAGTGTTACAATGTAACGACCTGTTTCCGTCGTTATAGAAAAGCCAACGGAGAAATTTTTTTGGCCGAAAAACATTTTTGTAGTAATTTAAAATTTCTCAACCTAGTCCGAATTCGGAAGAAATCGAAGTCAGTGAGGTCTAGATAAATTTGGTAACAAATGAGAGATCTATTAATGAATTTGATTACATGAGTGGATAACTAAGACGTTAAGGAACCCATACGACTTTACGGAATTGAATTCAGGTGAGTATAACTCCCGAAACTGATTTTAGTGTGAACGGGTAGTTTCTGAGTGCCATGGATTGAAGGTGTGTTGTGAAATGAGAGTTTGAGACTCTAATTACAATGTTCTGTCTATGCGCAAGTAGCCAGGGAAGGGCCGTTGTGGCAGGGTGAGGACCGCTGTGGCGGGGCAGTCACGACTTAAGTCGGAAATAAACCCCCAAAATTGTTTTATTCTGCACTTTTTGACTTTGAAAGCTAAGGAACGACCCCAAGTGTTTTCTTGAAAGTTTTGCACCATTCTTGGGGCTAAAGGTAAGGTTTTCACTCCTCGAATCCATTTTTTGATCCGTAGAACTTAGTTTCGCGGGTAACTATTGTTGGGAAAGGGTTTTGGAACTGTTTGGATGGTGGAAAAATCCCTAATTTGGATATTGGGATCATGGGTTTGATTTAGGGTTGATAGAGTTGATTGTAATACATGTAATTAGACATTGTTTATTGATCCTCGTGTTATATTGATTGTTTGTAGACCAAGAACAAGCGAAAAGAATTCGGAAAGGGAAGAAACAAATTTCTTACGGGATTTAAGGTTTGTTTGAGGTAGGTGATAGTTGCGATTTTCAGTTTAGTGTGATGTGTATTTGTAGTTACTTCATTGCAATGCATGTATGTATGCAAATGTTGCATTATTGATCACACTATTCGTAAATGAGGATGATTGAATAATTGTATGCCATTAATCATGACTTGATTTTATTATTATGAGAATGTACATTGTGATTGTGATTGTGATTGTGGCTTGGTGAATAGATCAAGTGTTACATTCCGACACACTAACTAGGATCGGTTTCCATATACCGGCATAAACATTGGAACGAGTGTCACAATCCGACACACTAACTTGGATCGGATACCACGTACCGGTACACTAACAGTTTGGGTTTGGGTTCCATGAGAGTACCATTGACTTGACATAACTGTATATCTTAAGAATTGTGAAACTGAATATCTTGAGAATTGTGAAATTGTATGTTGTTGTAAGTGATAATTGATATAGTATATGTTCGGTGTATGCATGTTTATTATTGGTGTAATGACTTATATATGTTTCACTCAATGGGATAGCCGTATGATCCTACCAGTACACTGTGGTTGTGTACTGATATTGCACTTGCTCTTTCTTTGTTGAGTACAGGGCATCTTCAGGTGGCTATTGATAAACCTCGCATAGAAGATCAGTGATCAATCAAATTCAAGGGTGAGCCAGTTCTTCCGGGCTGCCATGAGTTCTTTTTTTGTTTATGTCCACATTTTTTGACTTAGACTAGTGCTTTAGATTCCTTGTGTTAGTTAAGGGTTGTACCCCTTCTTATTTAGGGTTATGGTTCTTGTTAGAGTTTTGGTACATTGACTTTCAGGTTCTAGGCAATATTTCTGCATTTGTTTGGTTAAACTTTTGGAGATTATGGAAACTATATTTTCCTTTAGCATTTAAACCTGCTTCTGTATCTTTAAAATGCCTTAGCTTTTGGGTGAGTTTGTTAGTTTGGGTTGTAGTAATGGTTCTCCTATCGGAGGGTTAGTGTGGGTACCAATCACGACGGTCTGGGTCGTGACAAAGTTAGTATCAGAGCATAGATTCATTGATCTCGATGTACCAAAACGAGTCTAGTAGAGTCTTGCGGAACGGTACAGAGATGTTTGTACTTTTCTTTGAAAGGCTATAAGACTTTAGGAAATCTCTCTGTTTTCTCTTGTCTCCTTTCGTGCTATAACTTGATTACCATTGGTATCTGGCGATTCAATTTGGTATCTAACCTCCTTCACTCTTCTGTCTACAGATTGTTAACACTAGGTTCAACGGCGTTAGGCCCGTAGCTCCCGTCAATGCGCCAGCTGAGGAATCCGCAGCAAGAGGTCATGGTCGAGGCAGGGGTAGAGGAAGAGCAAGGGGCAGAGGCCGAGGAAGGGTGGCGCCTACTAGGGATGGAACTTCGGTTGAGAATGGTCCCAGATATGGGGGCCCTCCTGCGCAGCATGAATAGGTAGAAGAGAATATAGAGGTTGAGAATAGGGAGAATATTGGACAAGAGGAAGAGGTGTAGGCTGAGACTACAGGTATTCCTCCCTTACACCTAGTGTTAACTCAACAAATTATGTCGGTCTTGAAAGGATTGGTTGGTCCTGGAGTGCTTCTCTCTATTCAAGTAACTCAAGCTCCCGCCAATCCCCCTATTGCTATCACTGTCCCCAAGGTGAGTGGAACTGTAGGTATTGATGTTTTCTTTCATCCTTTGTTGGGTCCTGTTATGACTGGTAATGAGCATGAGATGTTAACTAAGTTCATGAAGTTGAAACCGCCTGTGTTCCATGGTTCCGAAAGTGAGGATGCCTATTGTTCATCCTAGATTGCTATGAGAGGCTTCAAAAGTTGGGAATTGTCTATCATCATGTAATAGAGTTTGTGACCTTTCAACTTCAGGGCGAGGCAAAGTAGAGGTGGAAAGCTTATGTAGAATGCAGATCCTCAGTTCTACCCCCACTCACTTGGACCCAGTTTCATGCTCTGTTCTTAGAGAAGTATGTGCCCTGGACTTTGAGAGATCGTAAAAAGGATGATTTTATGGCTTTGGAGCAAGGTGGTATGATTGTGGTTCCTTATGAGGCTAAGTTCCATGCTTTGTTGAGATATGCTACGCAATTGGTGACTACTGAGGAAGAGTGGATCCGCCTATTTGTTAAGGGACTAAATTCTGAGTTACAGGTATTTTCTGTTCATATGACCTCTGCAGAAAAAAACTTCAATGAGGTAACAAATTTTGTGACAAAAGTGGAGGGAGTGAGGCGAGACGGTTAGGCTAAGGCATTGGCTAAGAAAGCCAAGAATTCAAGTAACTTACAGGGTTCTTATTCCAGAGGTTCGGGGAGGCCAACACTTGCAGCCCAGCCAATTCAGTCTGTTATGCCTGCTTCTACAGGTAATTACTCAGGAACTCCACCTCAGAATTTAAATCAGGATAGCCAGGGAGCCGCACCTTCGGCAGGCAGCAGGCCCTCTTTTGATCGCATTTGCTATAACTGTGGAGAACCTGGACATATGAGGAGAGATTGTCTCCACCAACGCATGGTGGATTCCGCGCAGCAGCAGACTAAAGTAGTGGCACCCGTGGGAAATGGTAATATTGGTCGAGGGTTTCCACAAGGTGGGCGAGGAGGAAATCAGTGAGGCCGTGGAGGTAGGGTAAATGGTAACACCGACAGAGGTACAGTGCAGCCAGGTAGGGAAGTCACCCGTCATGATGACAGGGCTCAGTGTTATGCCTTTCCGGGCAAGACCGAGGTGGAGTGTCTGACGCAGTGATCACATGTACTATTCTTGTCTTTGACCGGATGGATAATGTGTTATTTGATCCGAGTTCTACTTATTCTCATGTGTCCATGTGATTTGCCTCAGAATTTGCTATGATTTGTGATATACTTGGTGCCCCCATCCATGTTTCTACCCCGGTTGGAGAGTCTGTCATAGTGACCCATGTCTATCGTGCTTGTCATATTCTGTTTATGGGTTTTCAGACTTGGGCTGATTTGGTGATTTTGGATATGACTGACTTTGACATAATCTTAGGCATGACTTAGTTGTCCCTCTGTTATGGTGTGCTTAATTGTAATTCTAAGTCGGTGACTCTAGAAATTTCGGGAAGGGAAAAGTTAGAGTGGGAAGGGATGTACAAGCCTAAGCAAGTTAAGATCATATCCTCCATCCGGGCTAGGAAACTGGTAGGGCATAGTTGTTTGGCTTATTTGGCTCATATTTACATTATCGAGGTTGAGTCTCCCTCCATTGAGTATATTTCCGTAGTGTCAGAATTTAGAGAAGTGTTTCCTACTGATTTGCCTGGTATGCCTCCGGATAGAGATATAGATTTCTGCATTGATTTGGAACCTGGTACCCGTCCCATCTCTATTCCTCCGTATCGTATGGCTCTGGCAGAATTGAGAGAGCTTTAGGCTCAAATCCAAGAACTTCTTGATAAGGGTTTTATCCGTCCTACTGCTTCCCCGTGGAGTGCTCCTGTCTTTTTTGTTAAGAAAAAGGATGGAAGTATGAGGATGAATATAGACTACCGACAATTGAATAGGATCACCATTCGAAACAAGTATTCATTGCCTCAGATAGATGATTTTTTTGACCAATTGCAAGGTCATCAGTCTTCTCTAAGATTGATCTATGGTCTGGTTACCATCAGTTAAAGATTAGGCCTGAGGATGTGCCTAAGACGACGTTTAGAACCCGATATGGGCACTACGATTTTCTAGTTATGCCGTTTGGGTTGACTAATGCGCCTACAACTTTCATGAGTTTGATGAATGGCGTGTTCAAACCAGTTCTTGATTCGTTTGTTATAGTCTTTA